TGTATTCTCTAAGATTGATCTTCGTTCGGGGTATTATCAATTGAAAGTTAAAGGATCTGATGTTGCAAAAACGGCCATTCGCACTAGATATGGTCATTATGAATTTTTAGTGATGCATTTTGGTTTGACGAACGCTCCTGCAGCTTTTATGGATTTGATGAATCGGGTGTTCCGACCATATTTGGATCAATTTGTGGTGGTCTTCATTGACGATATTCTGATATACTCTCGTACTGAGGCAGAGCATGACGAGCATTTGAAGATCGTTCTGCGGACTTTGAGAGAGCATCGTCTATATGCCAAACTAAGCAAGTGTGAGTTTTGGCTTCAAGAAGTGTCATTTCTGGGGCATATTATTTCTGCGCGAGGTGTTCAGGTTGATCCCAGCAAGATAGAGGCCATTATGAATTGGAAACGACCTAAGAACGTATCTGAAATCCGCAGTTTCTTGGGCTTGGCTGGTTATTATCGACGTTTTGTTGAGGGCTTCTCGATCATTGCTTCTCCTTTGACAAAGTTGTTAAGGAAGAATGTGCTGTTTGACTGGGGTGAGGCACAACAGGAGAGCTTTGAGAAATTAAAGGCGGTTTTGACTCAAGCACCTGTGTTGATTCAACCGGAGTCCGGAAAGGATTTTACAGTGTATAGTGATGCTTCACATTCAGGACTTGGTTGTGTTTTAATGCAGGAAAGTAAGGTGGTGGCTTATGCATCCCGTCAGCTGTGGCCGCATGAGAGTAACTATCCTACTCATGATTTAGAGTTGGCAGCAGTAATTTTTGCCTTGAAGATTTGGAGACACTATCTTTATGGAGAGAAGTGTTACATTTTCACAGATCATAAGAGCTTAAAGTATCTTCTGACCCAGAAGGAACTTAATTTGAGACAGCGTCGCTGGTTAGAGCTCCTAAAGGATTATGATTGCGTGATTGATTACCACCCTGGTAAAGCTAACATTGTAGCGGATGCTTTGAGTCGAAAGATGGTATCATAGTTGAGGTCGTTAATGGCTAAGATGAATTTATATGACGATGGCACTTTGTTAGCAGAATTGCAAGTTAAGTCGACCTTGGTTGATGAGATCAAAGCTAAGCAGCCCCTTGATAGCTCCTTGCTTTCCATCTTTGAGCAAGTAGAGCAGGGGACAAACACAGATTACGCAATTGATCAGGATGAAGTTTTATGCTTTAAAGGTAGATATTGTGTGCCTGATGATGTTGAGTTGAGGCAGACTATCCTTACCGAGGCTCATAGTAGTCCATATGCTATGCACCCCGGAGGAGATAAGATGTACCGGAATTTGAGAGAGAGGTATTATTGGATTGGTATGAAGAAAGAAATATCTGACTTTGTGGCTAGGTGTTTGACTTGTCAGCAAGTTAAGGCAGAACATCAACATCCATCAGGTTTGTTACAGCCTATCAAGATTCCTGAATGGAAGTGGGAGCGTATTACTATGGATTTTGTTACTGGCTTGCCTATGACTCCTTTGAAAAAAGATTTTGTTTGGGTGATTGTTGACAGACTTACAAAGTCAGCTCACTTCATTCCTGTGCGAGTAAATTATACTTTGGATAAGCTGGCAAGATTGTATATTTCAGAGATTGTCAGATTGCATGGTGTTCCATTGTCTATTATTTCTGATCGAGATCCGAGATTTACTTCGAGATTTTGGAAGGCGTTACATACGGCTTTGGGAACAAGATTGGATTATAGTACATCCTTTCATCCACAAACTGATGGTCAATCTGAGAGAGTAATTCAGATTTTGGAGGATATGTTGCGGGGTTGCGTAATCGATTTTCATGGTAGTTGGGAGAACTTTTTGCCGTTGGCTGAATTTGCTTACAATAACAGTTATCAGACCAGTATTCGTATGGCACCCTATGAAGCACTATATGGGCGTAAATGTCGCACTCCGATCTGTTGGACTGAGTTGCGTGATAGGAAAACGTTGGGACCTGAGTTAGTGCGAGAGACGGAGGACACAATCAGATTAATCCGTGACCGTCTGAAAGAGGCATTTGATAGGCAGAAATCTTATGCAGATCAAAGAAGGAAGGATATACAGTTTGAAGTGGGAGATCGGGTCTTTTTGAAAGTTTCACCCTGGAAGAAAGTATTAAGATTCGGGCGTAAGGGTAAATTGAGTCCAAGATTTATTGGACCATTTCGTATCTTGAAGAGGGTAGGACCTGTTGCATATCAGCTTGAGTTGCCTTCTGAGCTAAGTCGTATTCATGATGTCTTTCATGTATCAATGTTGAGGAGATACCGTCCAGATCCAGGTCACATTATTCAGGTTGAAGAAGTAGAGCTGAGACCTGATTTGCCATATGAAGAGGAGCCCATTCAGATCTTGGAGAGAGATGAACGAGTTCTTCGGAATAGGCGAATTCCAATGGTCAAAGTTCAATGGAGTAATCGAGGCCCCTCAGAAGCTACTTGGGAGACATTGGAGTCAATGGAGGCTCAGTTTCCTCAACTATTCTCATAAGGTAAATTTCGAGGACGAAATTTCTTGTAGAGGGGGAGAATTGTAACAACCCGAAATAAAATTTAGAGAAAAAAAAATTTAATTAAGTAATTTGGCAAAAATTTGAGGATTAAATCGAAAGTTTTCAAAATTGTAGGCCATTTTAGAAGTTAAAGGAAATTCAGGGACCAAGCCCTGCATTACTCCTTTTAGTGTCGGCAGAAAATTTCATATAAACATATGAATGGTTTTCTGTTTTCAAAACAGAAAACAATTGAGAAATTCTTCCTCACGCACACAACTTCCAAACTCGATTCCGACGCCGTCCGAATTCCGATCGTTGTTTTGAAACCACCGTTGTGTTCATCATCGAGCGAGGAGCAAAACCTTCAAATTAATTGAAGCGAAACGCGGCCAAACGTCGGGAATTTCCAGTCAAAGTAGCGACGGTTTTGTTAGCTCTATCGCCGAGAAAATCTTAAATTCACCGCTGATCGTTGCTCTGTTTACGACACCTCCCGCACCATCGTGTTCCTTGTGCCGTTCCGAGTTCACCGGTGTCAACCTTGTCCGCCGTAGACGGCGGCGCGTGGGGAGGTGGTGCAGTCAAAGATTCGGCCGATTTGAAATCGAGCTCTCCGCCGTTCAAAAATTTGAACCGATCGTTGTAAGTATCTTGAAATCGCTCAAAATAATTTTTAGAAATTTTTCCGGGATTTTTAGGGCCCCGGAGGACGCCTCACGCGCCACACGCGCCGCCGCAGGGCGAGTGGCTGCTGGAAACCGGTTTAACCGGTTTTCAACCGGTTCTGACCGGTTTGACCGGTTTCAACCGGTTCGAACCGGTTTGACCGGTCTGAACCGGTTTGACCGGTCTGACCCGACCCGACCGTTGACCCGACCCGACCGTTGACCCGACCCGACCCGACCGTTGACCCGACCCGACCCGACCGTTGACCCGACCCGACCCGACCGTTGACCGTTAACCGTTGACCGTTGACTTTCTTTGACCAAAACTTAAAATGGCTTATGCCGAGCATTAAACGACCGTTAATATTTTCCGAGTATACCTATCATGATAGTTTTTGACGTGCCGAATCCGTTTCCGTGGTCCGTTTTGTCAAATTCGAATCCGAAGGTCTCCAAATCTACGGTCAAAGTGGTTGACTTTGACTTTGACCAAGAATTTGAATTTTCGAAAAGTCATACTTTATGTTTTCGACGCCCTGATTCCGATTCCGTAATCCGTTTGGCCAAATTCAGACTCGAAATACCTCAAATTGATAGTCAAACCCGAAAAATGCGTATATACTTAAGAAGTTTAGCTTTGAACAATTGAATAGGATTGGAGACTGATAAATATTATTGTTTGAAGGTACAAGAGACTCTCCGGATCGTTCGACAGCTCGACCCAGCTCTTCTAGATCAGTTAAACCACGTGTGCCAGTATTCACCCGTTCGAAAATTGTAGCAGAGCGTGGTGAAACCAGCAATCAGTAGATTTGTTATTTGAATCTATTGTCGAGGTGTGTTCCCTACTTGTTATTGAACTGTTTTATTGGTTTTAATACGTGGTACACCGAATTCATTGGCTATTGTTTTATGGATGCACCAATTTAATGTGACAATTTATGGAATATGGCTGCTATCTAATTTTTGTTTTGAAATGGTATATGATTACTATGTTTTTGGATTTATGGAGTTTATGTCACGGTGCAATTGAATTTTGGAATTGAAATACGATGGAATAGCTCTGATCAAGCTAACTGGGCCTAATGTGACTCTTGAGGGCCCCAAGATGTTTCATTAGGTCGGCTTTCCTTTGCTGTGTGCTTAGGGTAAGCTATATGGACTTATTGACTTGGGCTTAAGGATACAAGCTTCAGAGCCTATCCTTAAGTCGGCTTTCTTTTTGCTATGTGCATAAAGTAAGCTATATGGAAAATAATTTTGGGAACTACTGATGGTGTACCAGAAAAGGGTTTAAACTATGATTTTAAAAAAATTAAACTCTTTTACGAATTTGTGAGATTACTAGACTATGATTTGTACCTATTGTGATTTTATGGAAATGTTGGGACACACTGAGCCTAGCTCACCTTTTGAAAATGTTTTCCCCTTTCAGATACTGTTGGGTAGATACCTTGGTTCGAGCACTTGGAGGATCAACATATCTCTTGAAGTAAATCAGATTGTAATGTTTTTATCTGGCAAGTTTACTTTATTTTGGTGACATGGACCTTATTTTAAAATATCGGATTTTATAATGATAACACTTTTGCTACTACTGCTCGGTTTATTGTGATTTTGAATTTGAAGACATGTTATAAATTAAATTATTATTTATTTGTACTATATTTACGAGTTGGATTTTGATAGTATAAATTGTTTATAATTTCATGTTTTTATAATGTGATTTTATATTGATGGAATAACGGTTGCGAAAAATGTCTTTAATAATTATAATGTGATCCACTAGACTTAGTCGAAACGCATAGGCCGGGTCTAGGGGGTTACAGTTATATCAGAAGCAAGAAAACTGCAAAACAAAGTTAGTGTTAGGAAGAAGAAACGAATATGTGTTTCTGCTGTGGCGATGATTGCGAGTGCAGGCCCTTAGGCTTGCTGTTGGGTTTGCCCTTTGCTTTTCTATCGCTCCTCATCTCCATAGTCGGCATAGTTGTCTGGATTGTAGGGTTAGTCTATTCGTCTTCTTCTCTTTTCAGATTTGTTACATTCTTGAATACAAAATCGATTTGATGGGTTGTTTTTATTTTTGTTGTGATGATGGCAGGTTGGTATTGACATGCATCTGCCCGTGTTGCTTGTGCGTGACCATCCTAGTAGAGTTTGCACTTGGTTTGATCAAGGCTCCAGTTCTGGTCATGAAGTGGTTCACCTCTAAGATCCCTTGTTAGAATTTATTTCGGTTTCCATTTCTTCATTATATTTATTCCATTCATTTCAATTTTTATCCTCTCTGATAATGCGTATCTTTATCTGTGTTTATACTTCAAAAGCCATTCCATGAAGATACTCTTCATAACAGAACTCGGAAAGCAAGAATTAATAATTTCAACCAATAAAAACATGACATATGACAGAAGATATTGTCTATGATATATACAAATCCATACATAACATGTTATTAATTGACTTCTAGGTATAGAGTTTTTATGGGTTAACTCTAAATATTCAAATGAGAATTGAGATATGATTTAAATACAAAACTATATTTTTGTTTGATTTTTTTTAAGGAAAAAAGTCTAACAAAAATAAAGAGGTAGCTCTAAAATTAAAAAAGAATTGTTGAAATAGGCGTGATAATTTGAAGCTCAATGAATTGGCATTAATATTCGCAAGGAAAAAGAAAATTACAGCAAAAAAGAGAGACGAGACCATCACACTTTATGTCAAAACCTGTGAGATTAACAATCAGAGGCTGTAGTTTAATCTAAGAAATAATCAGATGAATTTGGTCAAACATTGCACAATATAATGGCTTTTTCCTTGACCGATTAATACACAGCAATGAATAATAAATAAAACATCTTAATATGGATTTGTAAGTCTTTTGAGGGGGATAATGTCCAACGAGCAGCTAGCTTCCCCAGTTGCACATGCTTCTTGCTTCATATTTGTTAATAAATAAATAAATTTAGGGTAAAGTATAGTAATGGTCACTTAACTTTTCTAAAGCTTTTATTTAGGTCCCCCAACTTTTAAAACTTGCAATACAGCCCTCCAACATTTAGTCCGTTTGTAATATGGTCCCCGACTTAACCGACCGTTTGACGCCGTTACACTGTCGTTAGTACGTTTGCAATATGGTCACTGAACTTTTCAGGCGCTTGCATTTAGTTTCCCCAACTTTTAAAACTTGCAACACAATCTTCAATTTCATCCTAAACCCCAAATTCCTTTTTGATCTCGAATTTCCTTTTTCGCTTCTCTCTTCTCATTTCCAGCGTAATTTTTTAGTCGGGGATGCATGTGAAATTCTAATCTAACTTTGAATTATGTGGAGGTGCTGACTTGAATAAGGGTCCATTGAGAGAAGACCTGACCAAGGGACTATCGAGACCATCAACGATTCAAGGTGTAATGTTAGATACAAATCATCTCAGGTGAAGCATAGATGTTCGATGGAATGCTTGTGAGAAAAAAATGGGGTTAGAAATGCATAGTTGACAAATACTACTAAGATGAACTTAGTATCATTGTTGAAAGTCACCAACAAAGCTGGAATTATTTTGTATAAATGGCATAAAATAATTTCTTCGTTTAATCCTTGTGGTTAAAGATTTTCCAACATATGATCAAATATAATGAAATCCCAAACAACACATTCACCTCTCAGTCTTTTTCGCTCACATGCACTTTCGTTTGGTTTTTGTTCTTCAATACTTAAATGCTAATTAATAGCAATTTAAAATCCTAAATAATAGATAGATAATTTTTAATTAAAATAATAATTTCTAAACATTTAAATTCAATTACAATTCTTAATTCCTAAAGAGTTTTCGTCTGTCCATCCTTCCTCTTGATTCTGCTGATTGAGTAGCTTTCTAGAAATTATCGCTGATTAGATTGTAGATTCTGTCACGTCGACATCATCATGCTCAAAGTCATGCTCATGTGTCCAGCCTTGATTTCAGAAAATAAAAAAACCACAAAACTCGCCCATTAAATGATATTTAAAAAAAATAGAGTCATGCATAGAATTGAACATAAACAACCTAAATCAACAAATATCAACTAGATAACATGGAGTAATTAGCAACAACATAATAACAAAATAAATCATTCATCGCATTCAACCCAACTCGTGTATGTATGTGTATACTTTTCTTCCATTTAGATAAAAATTCATATAACTTTTTTATTTCTTTTATTTTTGATGATGGCCTAAACAACTATATATATTATATCATAAAAAAATGTGCCTTATAAATACATCTTATAAAAAGCATGACTAACATGACATGTTTTTATCAAAAAGAAGTTATTTTCTTAAATGATTTTTAAAATTATATTTACATAAATAATAAAAATCCTATTTATATAAAATTGTCGGTTTGAAAGTTCTAATCTACTTGTACGGTATTATTTTATAATTAAAAAATATTACCTAAAATTATAAGAATATCACTCTATATATTATTTCAGAGAGATCAAAAATAGTTTTAGTTGGATTCTCAAAATGAATTTTGGGTTTTACAAGTTAATAACGCATTGAATGAGACATCTGGTTATCGGAAGCTTCGAAGGTTGAAATGGCTGAGTCAAATATTGGTAGGCCAAAACATTCAACAACTGCTCAACACCGGAGTTTTCAATTAAAATTTAAAAAAAAGTGCAACTTTTTGAAGCAATTACAAGTCTAAGAATGTGCATGAATGCAGAAACCAGAGAAGAGCCAAGCGTAATGGAAAAGCAGTGCTCCTGTTTTCCAATCTAGTGGTCCCTTTCCGTAAGCAGCCATTGATTCCAGACATGCACATGTCCCAAAGTATTCCCACTCAAAATCCTAAAATAATCAATACTCCCCTTCTAAACCGACAGCTATACCGCTAATTATTATGCACCAGATAAACCTAAACCTGGTTTTCACTTAATCATGCTTTGCAAGCCCCGCCCATGATCATATGACTTCTCCAATAATGGCCGCCACTTGAAAACCAGCCCATTGTTAATCAGAACCCACTTTCTATTTACAAAGCATTTATTAAGACATCCAAAACCTTAAAAACCCACCAATTATAATTCACTTTCACTAGTTTCTGATCATCACTCTCATTTTTGTATAGTTCCCAACTCTTCCTTTCACTACAGAAACTTTTTTACTGCATGGAAGCCGGTAATAAAATCGGTTCAACAGCTCATCCCAGTTCCTTACACCCCCCGGTCCGCGGAGATGCCTCGAGTGGCACCCTGGGGTGCCACCTGGCAAGGCGGCTCGTGGAGATCGGTGTGAAAGACGTGTTCTCAGTTCCTGGTGACTTCAACTTGACTCTGTTGGATCATCTAATAGCAGAACCTGAGCTAAACTTAGTAGGATGCTGCAACGAGCTTAACGCCGGATATGCAGCCGATGGCTATGCGCGTGCTAAGGGCGTGGGAGCCTGCGTCGTCACTTTCACTGTTGGTGGCCTCAGCGTGATTAACGCTATTGCCGGAGCTTACAGTGAGAATTTGCCCGTCATCTGCATAGTTGGAGGCCCTAACACTAATGACTACGGGACCAACCGGATCTTGCATCATACTATTGGATTGCCAGATTTTACCCAAGAACTAAGGTGTTTCCAAGCTGTCACTTGTGCCCAAGTAAGTTAAAAGAAAATCCTTTCTTCACATTCATAATGAATATATCTTTTTTTTTTGCAGATTTTTATGTGTATTATCAGTATTTATGTTTAATTTGGCGGTGATCTGATATGACAGGCAGTGGTGAACAACGTGGATGATGCACACGAGCTTCTTGATACTGCCATATCGACAGCTTTGAAGGAAAGCAAGCCCGTTTACATTAGTATCAGCTGTAATTTGCCTGGAATTCCTCACCCAACATTTTCTAGAGAGCCAGTGCCCTTCTTTCTTGCTCCAGTGTAAAGTTTTTCTCTGACTTATTTTTTCTTACATCACTTTACTGGTAAAAGATTAGTTTTTCCTTGCATTGCTTGTTATACATTTCATTCATTTCATAATTCGGTGAGAGTTGCTATAAATGCATGGAACCAAGTTACATGCTTGTGTTGCTGATTCTTTACAATTGTATGCAGCGTAAGCAATCAACTAGGATTAGAAGCAGCTGTGGAAGCTACTGCTAATTTTCTGAACAAAGCTGTGAAGCCTGTTATTGTGGGTGGACCCAAATTAAGGGTTGCAAAGGCACAAGAAGCCTTTGTAGACCTTGCAGATGCCTCTGGGTATCCCATTGCTGTAATGCCCTCAGGCAAGGGATTGGTGCCCGAACACCATCCGCACTTTATTGGAACATATTGGGGTGCTGTTAGCACCAGCTTTTGCGGGGAAATAGTGGAATCTGCTGATGCCTATGTTTTTGTTGGCCCAATCTTCAATGATTATAGCTCTGTAGGCTACTCTTTGTTGATCAAGAAGGAGAAAGCAATCATTGTGCAACCTAATCGTGTGACGATAGGCAATGGTCCTTCTTTTGGTTGGGTTTTCATGGCTGACTTCTTAAGTGCATTGGCAAAGAAACTGAGGAGAAATACCACTGCTGTGGAGAACTACCGGCGGATCTTTGTCCCCCCAGGCATGCCTTTGAAGCATGGGAATGATGAGCCCCTGAGAGTCAATGTTCTCTTTAAGCACATTCAGGTACCACCGAGGTTATATGGTTTGTAATTATCCTCTACAATATTGTGGCTTATAATAAAGATTTATTGAAGGAATGAGCATGTGGCATTTTCTTCCATTTAGTTGCCTGCAAAGCCAATATATGAAATAATTATTATGGTTAGCTTGCACACTTCAGTGTGTATGACATGCCTTGTGGCCATTACTGCTTTAATTTCAGCCTCTAATTATATCTGTAAGAGCATAATGCAAATCGTTTAGACTTACAAATGCATAACCGGATGTGGACACTTCATTTGATTCTTGTTTTTTTTTTTTTCATTTACCTGATTTTTCTCATTCATTGGCTGATCTTGTTTAACAGGAGATGCTAAGCGGAGACTCTGCAGTTATTGCTGAAACTGGAGACTCATGGTTCAACTGTCAGAAGCTCCATCTTCCAGAGAACTGCGGGTAAGCAAGATCATCCTAAATGTCGCATTTCTTTAAGTTTTGAGCAAGAATAGTATATGTTCATTTTGCTGTGTCTAAATGTTTATCTTTATTGCTTGAAGTTATGAATTCCAGATGCAGTATGGATCCATTGGTTGGTCGGTTGGTGCCACACTTGGATATGCTCAGGCTGCTAAACACAAACGTGTGATTGCTTGCATTGGTGATGGCAGTTTCCAGGTGAGCCACATGATTTTCATTTAGAACTTCAATGACACATTTAAAGTTTCCCCTCTCTCTATATATAATATATATTCGAACAGGGTAAAGAATGTGGTAAGTAAATAATACTTTTGTTTCAATAAATTATTCAGGTGACTGCTCAAGATATTTCAACAATGATCCGATGTGGGCAAAGAAGCATCATATTTCTCATCAATAACGGAGGTTATACAATTGAAGTTGAGATTCATGACGGGCCTTATAACGTTATCAAGAACTGGAATTACACTGCCCTTGTTGATGCCATCCACAATGGTGAAGGCAAATGCTGGACAGCCAAGGTTAGTAAATATCAAAGGATGTTTAACATAAACTAATGTTGATCAGAAGTTTCCTTTCACATATAATAGTGTCATTTTTCAAATAATTAGATGCATCCACAGTCGATGCCGAGCTCCTCATTGGCATGCTTAGATTAAAGCTCCTATTGTTAAATGTAGGTGAGGACAGAGGATGAACTAAAAGAAGCCATAGCTACAGCAACTGGAGAAAAGAAAGAGTCACTATGTTTCATTGAAGTTTTTGCACACAAAGACGACACCAGCAAAGAGCTGCTGGAATGGGGATCTAGAGTTTCCTCTGCTAACAGCCGGCCTCCAAATCCTCAGTAGTCTGAAATGGTTAGGGAAAGACAAACACCATAAGCTTGAATAAAGATGGATGGAAAGAAATTGCTTGGCCTGGATGACAGCTTTTATCAATCTTGTTACTTCTTTGTACTTTGTAAATAAACTATTGTGAGCCAAAAAGAGCTGAATGATGACAAAATGGAGAATAAAATTGTGTTGTCTGTTAGAAGCAGACCAAACAGCTCCCATCAATTTAATCTTTACTTTAGAGCATGTTAAATTTGTTAACAGAGGCCTTTGGCATTGAATATTGCTTATTTGATTGTTTTTCGAAGCATTTCTGTTCTGTTCGCGGTTATTTAATATAATAATTTTCTGTTGCGTTATTTTTTCTTGTCTAAATCCCCATCAATCAGTATAAAGTTGGTAAACAACAAAAATTGTTAGGGTAAATTACGCATTCCGTTTTAGTATCTAAACTTTCAATTTTTTCAAAATCATACCTAATGTTTAGTTTTCATTTCATTTTAGTATTCCGCTATTAAAAAATTTAACATGTTTAGTACTTAAACTATTAGTTTTGGTCTGTTTTAGTACCTAAACTTTCAATCTTTTCAAAACTTAACGTTACATTTTGAACGATGTACTAAAATAAAACAAAACTAAAATTTTAACGGTAACATTAAAATTGATAATTTAGGTACTAAATGCATAATTTACCCTAAATATTATATATATATAAATCGTTAATTTCGGAAAATTTATATTGTGTTAATACCACATCAATTATTCTTTATTTATAAATTCCAAAGAAAACCGTGGACAGATTTGATAGGTTGGTCTAAAATATCAATTTTGTAAAAATTGATTTTTTTTTATTAACTTAAGGTGATTATAAAATATAATATATATATTATAAATATTCTCAATCATTTAACATGAACTTCAATCATCACTGTTGTAAACACTAATGCTCAAAGTTGAAACCTTTAAGATAATTCGATTTGTGCTTATAAAATTTAGAATTAATTTGAAAGCATAATTTTCTTTTATATAAATTCATACATCCATGCGCTCAAGTAATATATTGTCGATCATATGGTTCGATCATTCAATAACTCTAACTACCTTAAGCAAAAGTTTATTTTATTCTCGACAGTTTGTCATCTAACAGTACGATATTTGTTAGAAGTGTGAATCATCGTCTTGACTTGCAGGATCCATTAATTTCCAAGAACCATCCTCCTGCTGGACCATACCTTTGTTTTTCTCAATCTTCCATGAAACTGGGACTAAGTATTCATCCTTTAATCCATTGATGGATTTGTTTAGGAGAGCTATATCACGACTAATCACCAAGTCAAACCCTCCATGACTCCCTTGTGTTCCTGCCACCCCATGTAAATAACCTTCCAAATCATGCCAATTTAACAAGTTCCCAGATCCCCTCAAGTACTTTTATTTACGGGTGTCAATAGCCACTTCTTCTCCCACATCCCAGTATCCTATCAACGGATAGTTGGGGACAACATTTACAGCATTTCTGTCGCGTAACGCTCGAAGGTCACTCAACCCTGTAACATTCGTCTTGAACCCCGAGTCACCTACTCGAGGACTAGCGAATAAAAAGGCTGTGACAGGCGAGGCCTGGCCTGCCTGGGTTTTATGCTTGTTATATCATTGGAAACTATGTCGACGGCGTTCAGAGTAGAGAGGGATGCACCTAAGCTGTGCCCGATCGATGCTTATTTCCTCGTTCTTGTCTTGCTCCAAGTCTCATAATCTCGTTAAGAACCTAAAATATCAACAGCCAAAAACATAGACAAATCTTATTTTCTATAGAAAAAAAAAAGATATCTATACCAGATTAGTAGCGGAACATTGTTATGGTAGTGCTCACCTGGTCTCTGGCGCTGGTTTTGTTATAGAGAGATCGTGCGTCTGCCGAGGTGTAGATGGAGTACCAGCCGTCATGCACTTTAGCATCACAAGGAACACCGAAAATTTTGTCTGGCGAAACCAAGTGAAATTCAACATCATCGATCCATTCCAGGGTCTCCACTGTTCCTCTCCAAGCAATCACAATATCCCTCCAACTAATTTGGACTTCATCAGCTAGATACTTTACCGAGTCTTTCAACGGGATTAGTTTCTATTTGGAGCTAGAGTTCAAGAAGATTAGTATTACATCTTTGAATTTAAGGTTATCCTAAATTCACAACATAGAAATCAAACTTGGCTGCCGATGTTTCTTTCTTTTAATCGAGAAAGGGAGATACTTGATGCTAACAAATAATTCATGAATGTATTTTTGGGGAGGGATTTGAGTTCAAACAATCGGCTGGGGAATGGGAAAAAAGCGAGGCCTGGTGGTTAGGGCTGGGAAGGTTGCACAGAACAAGCAATGAGTTCATCCATATATACTGGGAAATAACCTTCATTATCTTTCTTTCCCATCATTTACAATAATTATTAATTATATGAAACGTTTTAGTAAGGCAAGCTCTTAGAGCTTGTGCTGAGGACCAATGACTTGAGATTTGAAGAATCCCCGGCAGCATTTGCTCGTCGGGTGATCATCTCCAAATTCTTATGAAGACTTTGCTTCACCAGATTCTTCATCATTTTCTTTCCTTCCTGAGCCTCCCTTGGATGCAGAGGCGAACCCATGACAACCCTTCCTGTTTGTGGTCCAGAATGAGGCCCCATCTTTGCTTGCCTTTCATCTTTGAACCATTGTAACAATTTCATTGCTCTCTTCTGAGCTAAAGGGCTTCCTAATAAAGACACTTCCAGAAGTACCGGAACTATTCCTGCCTTGGACATTTTATACCTTTGAGCGGAGCTTTGATGAGCTAAAATCATCAGAATATAGGATGATAATTCTTGACATTTCTGTTTGTCCTCCCATGTTAGAATCTCAATGAAGCTCTCTGGTACCATCGAACTATCTTCCATAGCCTTTTTTCCCATCAAAGTCAGCACCAAGTGACCTAGTGCTGCAAGGCCTTTCTCTGAATGTTCTTTGAATGAAGATAGCTTCAAAACAGTGTCTACAACTCCATTAGATACCAAAGGCCCAGCATTTTCAAACACAGCAGACAGGTTACAAACAACACCTAAACAGATCTCTTTAGTTTGAATGCCGGAAGCCGACTCAAGAATGCCGATGAGAAACTGGATAACCTCCGTTTTAGCTAGAGAGAAATGGGTGTTTGATATCGAAGATAATAATAATAACAGTTGTGCAAATTCATGCCTCGTTTGGTCGTCTACAACATCAATGTCCTTCGGCAACTTTGATAATATTCCAGCTTCTAGCATTAGTGCATTGTTTCTGAAGCAAAAAAAACAAAGTGATTAAGACTTTTGATCTACCTTAAGTTTTGACAATAGCAGAATCAACCCAGAACTTTTAAAGTCAACAATGAAATCGAAATTGCAGTTGAATAATAATTGTATGGGGTAGATAAGATGATAACCCAAGCGTGCTCTATTATTGCATAGAATAGGAATAAGAATCTCTGCAAGTCAAAAAAAATGTGGGAGCTGAACCAACTGGTAAATAAAATAAAACAGAAAAGTAAAGGAGAATCAGAGATTTAAAGATGAGGTAGGCAAGGTGAAGGTCAACAAATACTTATTATTATTTTCTCAATTATTTATTTTGGAGACAGTCCTTGTCTGTTTTGTAACATCATTATTGCTCTTCCAACTCCTACCACCAGGGGAGCCCGGTGGACGGTGGACAGCCGCCGTACCTTGCGGAAGCAGGATTTCAGGATCACTAGAATCATTTTCTTAATGACAGTAAAATGCTTCCGAATCTGTAAATTTCATTTCACTTCCATTAAGTGACATGTGAAAGTTCCATGGAAGGGTTTGACACCTCACCAGACAGTACTTAAAGCCAAAGGACTATTATCAATTACCATATATTAAGAAGGAAGTGCAGCAGATTCAGAGCCTATGATTATCAAAATGTTACAGCCTGTAGGGCAGTTGATTAGAGAGATTTAGGCCAATATCATCCATCATTACTGTGACCTTAGAAGGTCAAATATTTTAGCCAGGAGACCCCACCTAAAATCACTTTCTTTAATCCAATTGGGGAAGTTTGTTCATAAACATTATCACTAATATTTAATTTTCATGTGGACCTAGAACAATTCTGTCTTCTTAACATTTTGAAAATGTGATAGTATAGCACTGAAGCTCATACTGTAATCCCAGCAACTAATTTTATAGATTATTTCATCAACCATTGGGGACCTCTTTTCCCTGTCCTTACGAACTGTACCATGGGATAGTTCCAAGAAACAGAGCTCCATTATTTTAAACTAGGCTTAAAAATGCTGAATTTCGAGCAGCCTTGTGAACAATATCTTTTTCATCGCAGTATCCTTTTATGAAGCAAAAATAAATAAACTACAACTTGCAGGACAGCAACAGGGGCCCTTTCTCCTTATCAAGTCTCTATCCTAATTCAACCATTTATGCTTATGTTAAAAATCGTTTATGATTATGTTAGAATGTCCATCAATATGAATTGTTTTCAACCGGCTAAAAACTTTGAAAGCTGACAGGATCAATTGACACGAAATATCAAAAGAAAAAGAAATTAACATGAATAGTGAGAAAACAGTGAAACTTACGTAAAGTCAGCAAGCTCGATCAATGCCTTGACGGCGGCTAAACGGCGGCCAGCCACCTCAGTAGCCACCATGGACACAAGCATATTTATAACACCGAGCTCTGCCATCAACTTCCTTTCCTTAACGTCTTCTTTAGCGAGTTTACCAATGGCCATAGCAGCCATCTCTCTCTCTTCCCAGCTCCCAAAGTGAAGTCTCTTGACCCATTTTTGCAACGCCATCGAACCGTCGAGTTCACTCTCGGTTTTCTCTATAACAACTCGATCTTCCTCTTCATCAGTATTGCTTTTAACTAATAGCTTGTTTGTATGATCAGATGATGATGACACACATCGCTTATTTGCTGATTCGGATTGCAAAAACCTTCTGATTCTAGCAAAGAACTTAAGCTTCCTACTAGAAAGTAGCCAAATAGAAGATGAAGTGGAAGACATGCTCTGAGTTTGAGAGGGAGACATGGTTGGAGAAGGGAAATTCAAAGAAGTGGGTTCATTGTTTATATAAACTACTGCGAAAAGTCTAAAACCTGGGATTTAATTTTGTTTTTTCTGTTCTTTTATATAGATCAGAAAGGAGAGAAGAGAATATATAAGGATGGGTAAGAGACGAGAGAGAAAGGGTTCTCATTTCTCAATCAGAAAAGGTAGGGAGGTGAGCATAAGTGACATGCAAAGGAAACAGCGTCGTTGCCTCTTTAACCTTCCTAAGCCCTGACAAACGTAATTTAAGACAACAAGATTTCAGTGCATCATTTGTGTTTTATTTTGTTAACAGTTTAATGTGCTGATAGATCCTATTAAGCCTACGCATTTTGTCAGTATCTGGTGCATTCTCAGAAAGTCCCTCCTGCTTTCAAAATAAATAACCATAGATTTTGAGCCAACATTAAATTCTAACTTTTCAAGTTTTAAGAATAAAAGTAAACTACTTTATTGGACAATAAATTATTAATCGTTTTTATTATTTTAATTATCGATTTTTTTAATAAAATTACAGTTATAATTTTTATGAGTAGTTAAAAAGTAATTATAAATGCATAAATTAAATTATCTCCGTAGTTAAAATAATAGTAATTATTTTTAAATATTTTAGGTTCAAATATATGTAGTAGACATATGTAGAGTAATTAAACATTCATTATAAAAAAAATTAAAATTTTTAAAACAAATACTATATTATAATTACTATAATTTAACAAAAATAAATAATTTATATAACAATAATTATAACTCCTCAAAAATTATAAATTCTTTTTTCTTTTTTTATCTCTTTCTTTAATTTAACCTAAGAATTTACGATATCCCACCGTATTGAATATTATTATCCGTCGTCGTCATTTTTTAACTTTAAATTTTATTAGCAATCTCATCTTGACCTTCCTTTTTAATTCATTACATTGGATTTTTTAGAAAAAATAATCATCTTCAAAGTCAATTTATTTTTTCTGATATTAAAATTCAATTGTACGATAACCTAATTTAAAGATGTGATATTTTCTCCGCTTCGTCGTCACAACTTTTCTCCACTTCATCATAAACTCTTAATCGCTCAAATCTTGAAGACGTCATTTTGATTAGGGATAGTAAACAGACAGGGCGGGTGCGAGTATCCCTTCTTTTGTCTATGTATCTACCTAATAATTTTGTATTCACCATTTGCCCATAACCTATGACGGGTAAAATTTTTAAATTCATATTTGTCTATGCGATATATTTTCAAATCCACCCCACATCCACTATCTAACTGGATACCCACCACTTATTCTGTATCAGTCTGATCCGTCCAAACCCACCAATTTGAGATAGGAGAAACGACGTTTTTCATTCTAAAAATGTTTATACCTAACATTTAGTTAAATTACATGGCATCTCCTAGAAAATCTTAAGATTTACAAAATAGTCTCTAAAATTATACCTAGATTTATAATATTCCAAATTAAATTTATATGATGGGTAGTTAGTGGACGGGTGGATGTGGGGCAAGCGGACACGAGGCGAGTAAAGTCTAAAAGCCATCACCTACCTATTGTCTATTACGGGTATGACTTGTTACATCCACACTCGTCCACTACCCGTTAAATTTATACTCATCCCAGACTCAATTGGGACAAATACGGTGCGAAATTCACGAGTTTTTACTCATGTGTCACCCTAATTCTGATCACCGTAACATCCGCATATTTTTCCTGCACCTCTTTTCTTTTTTCCAGCTTTTCAAGTAAGGTCCTAAGCCTCCAATGGTGATGATATGTCTCAACGAGAAATGTGATGTGAGTTGTGGAAGTATCACCATCCCGCCGCGGAGGTGGTGACGATGAGTAGAGAGAACGACAAGAACAATAACATTTGGTTCATTCTGAGAATTGAATTTCGATAAAAATCGGTTTTTGTTGAAATTATTAAGCGAGTATCGCATCTCAACATAGCAGTCTAAAATTTGGGTATTACATTCTTCATCTAGAATTTTTGTAAATATGTAGTGGCCAAGAGAGGATGGTGATGGTTATGCGTTTAAGGACTAAATTGATATAACTTATAAATATAGAGATTTTAATTTATTAAATTATTTTGGTATTAGAACTAAAGTGATAGAATGAATTTTAAATACTAAAATTATTATTGTATCATCTACATCGCCATCTTTGTGAAAACACAAACTTAACATAATATACAAAAATATAATATTAGTGAACATTGATGGCCAACATAGAAAAATGTTGATAGTTTGATGAAGAATAAGATAATTTAGGCTGAAACTTACTCTGGGTTTTGATGCGAGGCAATATTGATGGCATGTGGGAACAGCGGGCAATGAGCGTAGATGCTCCCAGCCATAACAGCAGGCTAACATATTATATTTTGTATAAACCCCGTGTTAAGAATCAGGGTTTTATTAACGGGTTGATTCAAGTGGTAAGCAGCTTGATATCGCTTAAGCAAGATATCAAGTTCGATTCCTTATGTATGTAGAAAATTTCCGTTGGAAGACTCACCCACCAAAACCAGATGTACAACCGGGGTCGGTCCAAATTAATCTGGAATCGGAAGGCAACCAAAAAAAAATAGAAGAAGAAGTGTTTCAAATAAAAAAAAGGTTTTAAATCTCAACTACTGCAAAAGAATATCAGATCATCTGTATCGATGAATTTGATAATTTCATATGCATGGTTGGTTTTGGGATTTGACTATGCAACTAACCCTGATCGATCCTATAGAAAATAAACAATCCCGATTCTCTTAATCACGTATTCTTTGTCTCTTTCAATTAATGCGTGGCATTGTGGCTCTCGTAGCAGAAATGAGTGGCTGGCTACGAAGGTACGAACATTAGTTCCAAATCGACAATTTTAGCAAATCAAGATATTGGGTACAACATGCATGCTCACAAGTTAATTGCTTACCTAATCTCACCTCAATTAATTAATTAGGTTTTCATTTCTTCTGGCTGTCCATGGCCACAATCATCACATGTGCGACTTTAGGTTCACTATACATGCATACGAATATAAAGATATTTATCAACTTGCTTTTCCTTTTTGAATTAATATTAATTACCGATTCGATTTATGTTATTTGAATAAATTAGAATATGTCTCGACATACAAATTTGTTAGGAAAATAAACCGAGTACAAGTAATTTCCCTATAACCAGATTAGTGAGAATGCGAAATGAAAGCGGAAAAATAATACCCGAAAATTGATAACGGAGTTCAGCCAATTGTGCTTACGTCTCCGGGCTGCTGCAGATCTTTTACTAAGAGAGAAAATTTACATGTGTTTACAAAACACTCACTACTCACAAGAAAGCTCTCTAGTATAGGAAGAAAGAAATGTTTTGGGATGATTTTGAAGCTAAATGGGTAAGGGTATTTATAGTAGAAACTTAGGGACTAATCTTTGAAAATACCCTAAAGTGCAATGACTAAAGTGAATTTACCCATTCCTATTTTCAACAAACATCTACCAAAATTTTACCAAACTTTGAAAAACATTTTTCAAAGAAACATTTACCAAACTTTGAAAAAACATTTTCCAAAGTTGGTTGCCAAACTTTGAAACTTTTAACAATCTCCCACTTGAAGACTGATTTTAATATATCTTCACACCTCGATCAATGCAGCAGCATGTCTGGTCTTGTTATTCTAGCATGCCAACTGAAGCTGAACACAACTTCAGTTTGTCCATAGTCACCGTCTTTGTCAACATGTCTGCCGGATTTTGAGCTCCACTAATCTTTTCAAGTTTCAAAATCCCAACTTCCAGAAGAGACCGGATAAAATGATATCTCAATTGTATGTGCTTTGTCCTGGAATGAAAAGACGGATTCTTTGCTAGATGGATAGCACTTTGACTGTCGCAATACAAGATATTGTTTTCTTGTTTCTTGCCTAACTCTTCCAAGAAACTTTGGAGCCAAACCATCTCCTTGCTGGCTTCCGTAACAGCGACATATTCTGCTTCAGTTGTGGAGAGAGCAACTATCTTCTGTAGTTGAGAAACCCAACTCACTGCAGTTCCTCCTAGAGTATAGACATACCCTGTAGTGCTCCTTCTGATGTCGACATTTCCAGCTAAGTCAGCATCTACATAGCCTGTCAGTATCATATCTCCACCTTTGAAACAAAGTGCTTTGTTTGTGGTACCCCGAAGATATCTGAAGATCCATTTGACTGCTTCCCAGTGTACCTTGCCCGGATTATTCATGTACCTGCTAACAGCTCCCACTGCATGAGCAATATCTGGTCTGGTACAAACCATGGCATACATCAGACTTCCAATTGCTGAGGCATACGGCACCTTCACCATGTGTGCACGTTCTTCCTCCGTCTTTGGTGATTGGTCTTTGGAGAGTCTAAAATGAACACCTAAAGGTGTACTTACTGGTTTAGCATCTTGCATGTTGAACCTGGAGAGTACTTTGTTGATGTACTCAACCTGCGATAACATCAAAGTCCCCGACTTTGTGTCTCTCTTGATCCTCATCCCAAGAATCTGCTTTGCAGCGCCCAGATCCTTCATAGCAAACTGCTTCGACAATTTTTGCTTCAAGTTTATGATCTCTTGCATGTTTGAGCTTGCAACGAGCATGTCATCAACGTACAACAATAAAATAATGAAACTATTGTCGAACCTCTTGATGTAGCAACAATGATCTGCTTGGCATCTGGTAAAACCACTGCTACTCATGAAACTATCGAACTTCTTGTACCACTGTCTAGGAGCTTGTTTTAAACCATACAAGCTCTTCTTCAACCTGCATACCAGGTTTTTCTTGCCTGCCTCTATGAAGTCTTCTGGCTGCCTCATATAGATCTCTTCCTCCAAATCACCATGAAGGAAAGCTGTCTTTACATCCAACTGCTCGAGATGTAAATTCTCCGCAGCTACAATTTTCAACACCAGTCTGATTGTAGACAATTTTACGACTGGAGAGAAAATTTCATTGTAGTCAATACCTTCTTTTTGCTGAAAACCTTTGACAACCAATCTTGCTTTGTAGCGTTTTCTCCCATCATGTTCTTCTTTGATCCTGTAAATCCACTTGTTATGGAACGCTTTCTTGCCTGGTGGTAATTCAGCTAATTCCCACGTCTGATTTGACATAAGCGAGTCCATCTCATCTTTCATGGAAGACTCCCACTTGACTGAATCCTCCACATGCATTGCTTCATCATAGCACTCTGGTTCACCATTGTCAGTCAGCAACAAATAGTGCAAAGAAGGCGAATACCGTTGGGTTGGTTTAGGAATTCTGGAGGAGC